GGGGGGACCCCCCCCCCCCCCCCAACGCACCTTCCACGTGTTGTACATCTGGTCGATGTACACGTGCGATCTCCGCAGGAGATACGGGTCGAACGGAAAGAACGAGTCAAGCGGGTTCGACCCGCGTCCCAGGCCGCCAGCCTTGGTAACCCGAGAGGGAGTCCACATGGCGTTGCTCGACATGGACATGGACGACGATGACCTCGGCGTGGAGCAGGAAAAGCTTGAACCGACGGTGATGGTCTGCGACACGTGCGACCGCTGCGAGGGCGGTCGGGTTGGGGGGCACGGAACAAAGGTGAGTCTGTGGCGATGCCTCACCGCTGTATGTAGGCAAGCGTGTCGGCCGGATATGTGATCATCATATCATACCGCGGGTACCCGGGTGTGCCAAGACGAGTGTGCCAAGACGTGATGACCTGCTTTGCTTGACGGAGTTCGGCGACGAAAATCCCGGCAACCTTAGTAAAAGGCGTGGGAGCTCATATAAAGCGCAGAGAAAGTCCGGCAAAGAAACGTCGATCATCGTGTAGGGTACTTCGAGAACGAGCACAGCAGCAAAAAACCACCACCGCCTGCACGGGCCTGCTCTACCACCAAACGTACACCACAAAGCGGAGGGGCTTCCTGCAAGCCTACCTCTTCAGCAATGCCTGCGAGGTGTTCCAGCAGATCTCTGTCCAGGTAAGCGTCCATGAGGCCGCAGCACAGCCGAGCGAACTCCCTCCGAACGGTGTCCAGACAGCGCCGCAGGGGATACAACGGGCACGTCAACAGCCGCTGCCAAATCACCGCCTTTGCCCGGCCCCAAGACATGCACCGGCAGGGGACGCGAAACGGCACAGGACACGATAGGCTAAACTTGAGAACCACGTCCGGTGTTGACGCATCGACATGCGTTGCTACATCGGTAGGACATCATCGGCATAGCAGTACAGATATCGGGCCGTGCATAGCAGCGGTGCTGACAGGTCCTCACTATTGCCTGAAATCAAAAGGGAAAGGGAAGGACCAACACCCATCAAACGGAAAATACGATGTCCGAGAAACGAGCGACTGTTCGGACCATGATCCCTCGCTTTGACTTTTAATACCGCAATGTGTCACATCGCGTTACGTGCGCGGCCAAAGAAATCCCGCCTCAACTCATCGATGCACGCGCATCACGCCGTGGGAAACATTTGGTCGATCCTATGTATACCCGCAACGACCGTTACACGTGTTCCGCACTATCATTCGCGTTACAACTAGAGTCATTCGACACGCTCGAAACCCGCGTTCCCCTCGCACCTGGCTGTCGAAGCCTTCCATGGCGGCGAGCTCGTCCCCCCGGAAGCACATCACGTAGAAAGTCGCCTGGCACACTGAGTAGAAGAGCATGTGGTCCGCCGGCCTGCTCTTGCTGCTGCTGCTACTCTTGCTGCCGACGCCCACCCCGCCGCTGCCCCCGACCCCCGACCTCGAGGCCACCGCGGACATCGGTGCATCGATCATCCCGCCGCCTCCGTCGCCGCCGTTAGCGCTCCGGCGAGGGTGGTTTCCGTGCCAGGACTGTGGCCTCGCCCGGACGCGGGTCGCCACTGGGGTCTCGAACCCCTAAGGGGGGAAGCAGCGAAGGAGGTAGTGGCTGTGATAGCACGCAGAGAGGTTGCAGGCTACAACTGACGGTGCTTGTTTTTTTTTTCTTGAGTCGGACGGCCGTTGGCTATTCAACAGCGGGTCGGAAGCATGTGGTGTAGCGTTCCAAACAGGTATCCCTTCGGTACCAGCTGCTACTGTAGCTCAACAAACAAGTCATTAGAAAATGCATAAGGATCAACTCTCGATCAATTCATGGCACTTTCGGGGCACATGCCCTCGGGCGTGACCCTGCGTTCGCGCGTACCGGGTGGTTGTTAATGTGTGGGGGCTGTAAACTCCGTTTTCTTCTCGCATGGCTGGATGGCGATAATAACTTTAGCAGCAATTGGGCAAACGGACATGTACGAGGTGCTTCCAAAATGTTGTGTCCCCTTCATCTTCACTGACTTCTGTTCCATTGAGGCAAACCTTCCTTAATTTATTGGTCGCCGAACCAGGGCCGACGTCGCCGCTACAGTTGAGATTGACATCGATGACATTAACAATGATCCTTTTGACACGCTAGTACACGAGCGGAACCCGCAGGAGAAACGCAATAGCGGTCATTTCACGTCTCCTGTTTCGCATTCCAGGCCTCAGACCGTCCCCTAACAAAACTTTTGACATACGAATTCCTCCGCGCCCCTCCTGCTAACGAGGGAGCCTGGAGACTAGAAGGCCATGCCCATACCCGGGGTCTCGCATCAAGACAACCGTGCTTACAGTGGCAAGCAAGGTTACGTAAGGCCAGGTAAGCGCGACCGAAACTCAAATAACCTAACGGCCCGCAACACAAGCCGCGCACCTTCGAGCTCGGAGTTCCAAGCGCTTGTACCGGCGTTGCTATGGAGGCGTCGGCGTACTGGTCCAGGTACTGCCCTGCCCAGTCCAAGAGCGATTGTACGGCAGTGGACACCAACGAGGGGTCCACGAAGGAAGCTCTCGCCACAAAGCTGGCAAGGTACGCCACGCTGCTCTGGCGAGTCAACTGACAAAAAAAAATCAGGAGTTTGATGGAGCACAGGGATAAGCATGGAAAATTTGGTGGTGGACAAGTAGGAAGATAGGATAGGATAGATGGAGGATATGCGTATGGCAGGCAATGCCGAATCTAAACCTATCACAACTACTAGAGGGTCCAACTACTCTGCCACTACACTCGAAACATACCATCGCGACCGTGAGCATTGAACAGCATCGCGCCAGCGATCAATCCGATCACCGAGGGTCTTAACTTCTCACTCAATCCGCACGCTCGAACTCACACTTCCCCACACATCCCAAAAGGAACAAAGCACCACTAAACATTTAACACGAGGTCAGCCCCGTCAGCGAGGAAGAGCAGGCGCTGCACGAATCATCACCTTCGGCCGAGACTCATCCTTCAATACGCCGACCAGCTTTGACACCAGAGCGTAGCCTAGCCCGCGCGCACGGCCGGAGGCGAAGAAGAGCACGAACTGCACGAACTTACTGCGGTGTGTCGGCAGAATGTTCTCCTCGAAGACCACCAGAAGAGACTGTCATCTCACGTCATGTCATGTCATGGGAGAAGGTCGAGAGGTGCAAAAACACACAACGGCGAGAGCTGGGTTACAGCAGCAGCATTAGCAACAGCAGTGGACAAGCAAACAACCCACCAGAAACCTCGTAATTCCACATGCCTCAACTCAGATGGTACACCCACCGTCTAGCAGCATGAATCTACGGCGCACAGCAAGAGGGACGGATCATTGCACCTCGTATTGCAGGCCGTGCGTACCCTGCTGCCGTTGCGCCTACAAGCGTAATCAAGATCATGGCAAGACCGCAAACTGGCCAACAGGACCCCAACCTTTCGTTTGCACCTTCGTCATAGTAAGCCAAGAATAATTCGAGAGGAAAATTAGTGCCGGCAACGCGTTGAAGAGACGATCGAGCCTACCTTCAACAGTCGTGCCACGGGTTCCATCCCTTGCATCCCTCCCGTCGAACCGCCCCCCCGTCCCTTCGGGGTACAACTGTCGCTGCCCGCCTCGTCTCCCTGCAAGACGGCTTGTGCCGCCGCAACGGCTTCACAACCCCCATCCCCGGCCACGGAGGTTTCCAGTATTGTCTCCGGCGGCAGTGAGGCGTTCGCTGTGAGGCGCTGGTCCAGGTAGTTGAAGACCACGAGCATGACCCCGTCCAGCTTGTCGGCCATCTCGTCCACCTGGTACAGCAGCGTTGTGCACTAGTTCGTGGGTTCAATTGTCTCCCGGTCGACACATGGATGAATGCAAGGTCCGAAACTCCGAGACTAGATACTAGCCGGGCGCTTCCACATGTACGGCTTCGCTGAGGAAGATGGCATTCCGTGGGCTCTTGCACCGGCAGGTGTTTTGACGCTGCCTTTGAGCTCCACACCCTCGCTCCTTCCCTCGTCGTGATGTCTGTCCTACATGCGGCTCTCTCTCTCTCTCTCTCTCTCT